GGGCAGGGTGACTGCAGCAAGAGCTCGCTGCAAACCGGCCTCCGGGCTGGTGGAGTAGCACAGAGTGGCTGCCCTGCTTCAAGGAGGATTTTCGGGTTGTGCGAGGTGGAGGAAGGCACCGAATCCTCCTCCTCGGTGAGGCAAGAGCCAAGGCTGCTCCTCTTGTCTCACCTGTCAGGGGGGAAATTTTGCAAGCTCCCAGCCCCCATCCAACACCTGCACACAAAACCAGCACGGTGGAGAGGAAGCATTGGGCTCCGGTTTAGGGCAGCCTGTGCCACGTTAAGTCATACAAATAAATAAATGCCCAGCAACAAAATACCCAACACACAGAAAAACCTATCTCCGATCTGCCATGCGCACAGTACATCAGCAAAGTGGAGCAGCTTCACGCTGGCCTCTGAAATACTCGTGGCACTGCAGATTTTCCATGAGTGATCAGGCAGATTTTCTGAGTATAAATTCAATTTATAATTCTAAAATTAGACCAGGAACATAGTGGGGTGGCCAAGAAAAGAAAGTTTGGCTGGCGAAAGCAGCCCTGCCCGGCAATCACCCAGCAAATGTTATATTACATAAATCCAGCCTGAAGCTGAACAACTCTAGCACTGCTGATGGGGAAATCTCTGGTTCTAAATCCATTAAGCCTCACTGATCCGACAGTGTCACAATTTCAGAGTCCTGCTATTCTTTAATTTTTTTTCACACCATCTTAAGCTCATTTAGCTAATGAGCTGCTTTATTCTTCTGAAAGGAAACAGTGCTGAGGGTGAGGATGTGCCGTGGCTCGATGCAAGCGTGGCTGGCAGCACCGGGGATGGTGACGAGAGGCCAGAAACCCCCTAGAGACCAGGGAATGGGGGGTGGCTGTGCTGTCAGAGCCAGCTGTCTGAGCCTGTCCCCTCCCAAGCCCCCTGGCACGGGCTAGGAATTAACCTCCCTGCCGCTTTTCCTTTCCCTGGACACATTCAGGAGCATCCCGCCCCGAGGAGCGATGCCATCGGTACCCAGGCGATGCCGGGAGCTGCCTCAGCCCCGTGCGTGAGAGGTGATGTGCCAAGGACCCTGTGTCCCGACCCGGACCCCGTGTCCCACCCTGAGCTGAGCGGACACAGAGAGCAGGTGAGCAACGCCGTGACAGTCAGCGACCTCTCTGCCCCAGCAGCTTAGGCTTTCCAAACCCACCAGAATTAGGGGCTGGATGAGGGGTTTTGCTTTGGGTCCCAACACTGGGGCTCTGTTTGCAGAGGGCAACCATCACTTTGAAATACGCCCAGCCCCGCCGGCATGCCAAAGGGCTGCTCCCAGCACCGCCGCGGGGCCGCATCCGGCACCACCGGGTGTATATTACAGTGACAGCTCTGGAAAGGGCTCAGGGCTGTAAATGAAATCGCTGTCTCAGGGAGCAAGCTCCACACTGAGGGACTCTGTGGTCTGGTCTTTATCAATAAATCTCCCTCAATAAATCCTCTCGAGCAGGGCGGAGGAGCAGGGGGCTGTGGCTTCATGCCTTGGGCAGTTCACACCAGGCAAGAAGTGAGCAAAGCCAAAGCCCTCAGGGAGTCTGGGCTGTCTGTGGGGCTGCTCTGCGGTGGCAAAAGGCCAAATCCTGGGCACAGATACAGGAGGGGCGATGCTCTTGCGACATCTCTGTAACTGTGTGTGTGCACAGACCAGAGACCGAGTCCTCGCCAGGTTTGCCGCAGAGTGGCAGTCCTGTCTGTAGGAAGGGATGGATACTGGCATCTCAAAAAGCACCGAAAATGCAAAAGCTCTTCCCCACTGTTTGAATCCCCAGAAGGTCGCCGATCCCCACTGACCAGGGGGCTCTGGGGAAAAGCACCGTGGCCGTGCACAGAAGGCAAAGTTACTGCCCACACCCCAGTCCCAAACCCTGATCTGCCGGGCTCTTCCCGCAGCCCTGAGTCACCCCAGAAGGGATCTGGACCCGGAGCTGAGCACCTGGGCTGCCCCTGCACCCTCCGCCTCCCACCACATCTGAGTCCAGCCCTGCGGCCCTGAACCAGGGGCGGCCATGAGCCCCAGCCTGGGCATCACCTCCCCAGGACGTCCCAGCTGGAAAAGCCCTCCCAGACACCAGCCTAGGGGAGAGGGCAGCACTGAGGCGGGCAGGGGCTCATCCATCACCAACAAACATCACAGGGAGCCCATGCATCCACCACCGGCTCTGCTCCCAGTCGCAAGCCCTTCCCGGTTTACAGCACTGGGGAATGCAATGGGAATTAGTGTCTGAGCACTTCAAAGCCTTCCCCTCCGGCACTCGGGGCTTCAGCCCCATGACAGTGGGTCTCACAACTCTCTGCAGTCCTAGGGAAGTGCTTTGCCCAGGGCAGAGCCAAATTTAGAATCATAGAATCACTGAGTTTGGAAAAGACCCCTAAGATCGTCAAGTCCAACCATCAACCCAACACCACCACGCCTGCTAAACCATCTCCTGAAGTGCCATGTCTACACATTCTTTGAACACCTGGGACTCAGTGATCCCAGGAAGGGCTACCTGTTAACATCCGTGGCCTTTTTTTTCCTTTTTCAGACTAGAGAGGGGTATTGTTTCCCCTGGCTTGCAACTCAGTTATGGCTCTTGGGGCTGAGCAGCAGAGATCGGTTCCCAAACCCATTTCACAGTTAACGATCCCGAGCTACAAGAACTGTGACAAGTTGTGCCATGCCTCAAGTGGCTTTTCCTTCCTGGGAGAGATCACTCAGCCCTGGGAAAGGGTGGATTATGCCCAGGGAAGTGCGAGCAATGAATATTTTTTTAATTGTTTCCCCGGAGAGTGAGATCTCTGCTCTGTTTGTACCAGGTTTGCTCAAAAGGCAAATAAAGCGACTCCAAGATGATTTGTATTTCGCTTATCCAAGCGTGCAAAGAGGATACAGGCCCAGCTCGCTGCTCTTGCTCGCCAGCTCGTGCCTCATTTCTTTGGAAAATCAGACGCTTTAGGGGAAAGTTTCTTCTTCCAGCTCTGCGTGCCCACATCTTGCATATGCAGGCGAGCCGGCACACCTCTGCTCTGCATGCAGAAAAAGCCAGGGGCGGGCTGCCGGCAAGGAGCGTGCTGGAGCCCGGTGGAAACCACCTCATGCCTCCATGGGGCTGCAAAACCCAGTCCCAGCCTGGCCTTTCACCTTCTTCGTGAGTTTTGCCTTTTTTTCTTCCAATTCTCATCACCATCCCACAGGTGGGGAGGACCGA